ATTCCTGACTAAAGTCTGGCCAGATGCTCCAAAACGACGATCTACGTTCTCTAGATTTCTCTAGTAGTAACAAGAAGCTACTAGGGGCTCCTGGGATCGCTGCTAGGTTACTAGGAGCAAGGACGCTGCTAGGAACAACGGGCATCGCTACGAACGGAGCAAGTAGCTACTCGTAACAAGAAGCTTCCGAAAGCCTGCTTCGGGTAGCTACCGGTCACCGGCTCACCCATGGGAGTCGTTCCCGGAAGCTCGCCCTGAAGCCGGTGGAATTGCTCGAGTGAAGCATGCGAAGATACCTACCGTGATTGGACAGTCGGTTGAATGCCTCAAAAAGAACATGAAATCATTTCTATAATTTTCTATCCATTGAATCCATTGGGCCTTCTTTTTGGATGGATCGGTGGGATGGGATGTTTTCTGGGTGCCGACCGAGTGTCTTTGCGCAGGCTGAGTGGTTGCTGCGCCGCCTCAAAGGAGATCAGGTGCGAGCCGAGAATCACAGGGGCATGAACATCTGCAGCAAAGGAGAGCTAATGTTGACTGTTGATGAGTCAAACGCTCCTACCAGACTTGGGGGGCCTTGGATTTCTCAACCGTCCGCATCCATGCCGTACACCTTCAAACCCGCTTCAAACCAACCCGCGTGTGCCGAGAACGCATGGCCGCCCCGCGCATGGCTCGTCACGCCGCCCCGAGTCGATGGGATGGGAGTGATGTCGGCGGTGGTCGAACCTCGACCTGATGAGATCGGTGAGAGAAAAGACATGAGACACTTTGAGAAACCATGGGCTGGGGGGCTCTTTTTGTTGGGATTTGAACCATCAGAATGGTCCCTCCATGGTCGGACCAGCCAAAAGAAGGACAAAAAAGACAGAGCCTTCTTTCTTCTTTTTCTCACGACTTTTTTGAGGTTCCTTTTCTGAGGACCCTGCGGTGCACCGTCTCCTCGTGTCGACGGGGGCACGGAACGCTGCGCGCGCTCCGAGGCGGAGCGAAGAGATGCCGCTGAGCCACCGGGCAGCCGTGAGAGCTTCTTCTAGGAGTTTTCTACACGGGTTTGTCTTCCGTGGGCCACTGAGCAAAACCCAACATGCAACTGGTCTGATTTTTATATGTCGTTATCACATGTCATACAGTACACACACACACATATATATATATATACACACACGCACAGTACATCACAGTACATGGGATCAAAGCCGCGTGTTGTTTGGCTGTACTAGTTTACTAGATGAAGCAAGAGCCTTTTTTGGAGAGATCAGCTGGTGGCAATGGATTTGCTGCGGCCCTCTTGGGCCTTCCAAACATCAGCACCTCTTGGGGCGGACCAACTGTCCCTGATCCGCACACTGCAAAACGCGCAGTCAAAGAAAAAGCTGCTCTGTTTGGGCTGGCCAAGTACACCGTTTCAACGGTGTCCCGCAAAAGCCTAAGCTGCTGTGTCGTGCAAACGGAGTTCGGAAGGTCCCATGGTGGTTCAGTTGGCAGGGCTTCATGGTTGTGGAGGTCAAATGATGTCGACTTGAGCCTTGGGTGACCTGTTTCATCCTGTTTCCCTTGAAGCTGGACTTGTTCACGAAGCTGTCTTGCCTTGACCGCGCAAACGCCAGCTTTTCGTGCCATTCCACCAAAACGCCATGATTTCACTGAGGCCCTTGGGTCATGTATCCACACGGGAATCATCCAGCCCTGTAATTCTCCGTTTGGTCCTGTGTCATTCCCTCCCATCTCATGTCGATGGCGCCGCGAACGCCGGATGACCCGTCCACGGTGATTTTCGTGGACGTGGATGGAGCAGCTGGGCGAAACGAAAGGGGAGGGAGAAGAGTGGAATGGCATGGAATTCCGCAACCTGATGACAGTTGATTCAACGTCCTTTTTTGGCTTTCAGCAGTGCTTGTAGAATCTGACTGCTTGGATGAGATCATTGATTGGCACCCATCAAGTTCCGAAAAGAAACATGACACCTGCTCCTATTACTGATGTCACCACAGAAGCTTTCTGGGTGGTGGAGAGCGGCGGGACTCGTGTGTGGGTGGAAACCCTTCGAATGTCGGGTGGAGGCCATGAAGGCAGCGAAATAGGCCAACCACTGTTGAAAGCCTGCACTGGCCAACCGGCTCTTGTTCCCATGAACCTCTTCTGACAGGTAGGAAAGGAGAGTGGTTTTCTCCAGGTTCGCGAGTCACGGCTTGCGATATGCTGAGGTGCTCAATGTTGGGATTCGTGACGATGATGCGACTTGGCAGTAAAAGAAGCCCAGGAACGGACTTCGAGGGGCTCTAATCCTTCGTGACAGGTGGGTTGGTTTCATCCCCCAAATGGGGCAAACTCTCAGGGGCATCTCCCGCTTGATAGTTATAAGCAAGCCAACGCCCGGCAAAAGGCGTAAGCCTACATTTTGGGCGCCAGACAGATCTGGCCACAAGAAAAATGGAAGAGTTCAGCCAAAGAAGTGGCCGGTATACTTCTGTCACACCTCTTTCCATTCTTCATAAACACGAATTGTCAGCTGCCCAATGGAGGCGGCGGTGTTGTTTGGCGCTTTGCGAAGTCAGCGCATGAGTTTGAAAGTGTGAGTCCTTCCTGGCCCGCTTATGATTTTTACCCACTTGTTCCAGTTGCCCATGTCGCCGGCAGGGCCCGCTGCTGCTCAATGACACTTGGCTGGGAGAGGGCGAGTCTGAGCAAGGGCCCGGGAGTGGGACGGCGAGCCTTCAACGCGGGCTGGCGACACGCCTGAAACCACCCGAGCCAGCGACACTACCAAAGGTCCCGAGCCTTGCCGAGAGTGCCGTGCGCGCACGTACGTCAAGAATGGGTTCTGAGCTTCTTTTGCAAGCTCACGCAGTCGCGGATGGCTCTGGGGGAATTGGTCTGATGAGCTTCAAGCGATGCCACGGATTCCCTCGGTGATGTGGTTCTCTTCACCAATGGGCGTCGGTGTGACCCTCCCAACCTCCGACGCCTCGGTGCGGATCAGGAGAAGGACCTGCGGAAGGTGCGGAAGCTGAGCGGGTCAAGAGGGGCGGAGAGGGCCAAGAGGGGGTTCGCCCTTCCGAACGTGAGACGGAGCTGCTGTTTAAGGCCGCCCCACCTGCCGGGAGTGAACCTCGGACCTGACCTTCCTCCAAAGGGTGGTGTTTTGAAGCCCACCTCAGAGCGCGTCAATCCATTTTTCAACATGTCCGTCTGAACGAAGCCGCCGGACAGGACAGCCTCGGCCGATCAGCAGGTCAAGGCACTAGGAAAGGAAGAACACTGCTCATTGATCTCCTTTTCGCTCGCTCAAAAAAACTTCAGAAGTATCCGGAACATGTCCAGCGCACCATGAACAGGCCAGATGGCGGGCCTGGCTGGCCTGAAAGAGAGGTTTTGTACACTCCTCATGATCAACAAAACGGCACACTTGCCCAATGGAACTAGATAGGACCTTCCGGATGGAGAGTTCATCGGCGACATACTGTAATACAGACCCTGTGATCTCCGAAGAATTCACCGATGCACAGGGTGCTGCTGACAGCCTCAAGGGCCACGTCGAACAATGAGAGCTACAGCTCAGTGGCTTGTAAGGGCCATGCGCAGCTGGCAGGCAGGGGTGGGCACGAAACGTCACATTGATCTACGAACAAGTTGCGCATGCAGGGGCAAGGATGATCACATGCAGGGGCATGTGTTGGCATGAGAAGCTGAACAAGAGAATCGGCATGGCAATCATTTCGGGTGTAAGGCTTGTAAGGGTTGAACCATGTTAAACCTGTGTCGTTGTGTTGATGTCGGTCAATTCCGCCTACCTTCCTCTCAGCTCGATGGCGCGTGTTGCTCACTGTAGCATGAAAAACAACATGCTGTGATACATGCTGTGATGAATTGGCCGCCTTTGGTCGCCTTTGGCCTTTGGGGTAGCGAACAAATATATACAGTACATCAATGTACATCATGTTTTTTCTTTTTCTGTTTGTTAAAGACCCTTCCTTCTTTGTTTATATTTTTTAAAAAAGCAGGTTTATCACCATCACCGACATGATGAACCCTTCAACTCCACCACCGTGGACCGGTGTTCAGACCGGGTCGAAGACCGGGACCTCGCCGTCTCGAGAGCGGTTGGCCCAGGGCTTTTCCTGAGCCGCTTGGCCAGGCGGAAGTCCGGTCGCGTGTCGCGCAACGAAGCGTTCCGGTGGAAGGAGGGATGCTTGGATCTCGAGGATCATCTGAAAAGGCGGTGGACTTTGATCGAAAGAGATCAAAGGCCCCTTGTTAAGTTCAGAGCCTACGTGAATTTCTACGTCCTAGGTTTGTACTTTTGGCCAGCCGGCAATTTGACACAGCCTTAGTTTGGGGATGAAGGCCTACTAGGAGTCTATCATTGCCTCTGCGGCAAATTCGGGTGACAATGTGATCTTTAGACTGATACAAGAAGGGGTTGTGTTGGGGCTCGATGTCTGGGAGGTTGAACTTTGAGAGGACGCTAAAATTCAAGGCGTGGGATTTGATTTTGATGAGTGACTCTACGAAGCCTGTCGACTCCAGAATGCCGCGGTAATACCGTGGACCACGTCCGGTTGAGAACTGCACAGGCTGATCAAAGCTGAGCCGTGCCCTATGGTGGTGCTCTCCTCCAAGTGGCAAGAGCACCTTGGATGATTAGGGATGACGAGTGGATTTGTTGCCCGCACATTCAACCAGAGCCCTACCTCGTAGTCATGAGGAAGATCTTTGGGACGGTTGAAGGAAGACATCATGCACCACACATGGTCGACATCAGGATTTCTTCGATCAACAGGTGAATCAGCGGCGCTGCCGACCATGTTGCTAGCTCTCTTAGTGCAGTCAAGGTAGATGCCCACCATGTTCTGTAATTCAGTTGCCGCTTGGGTAATGGGACCGCGCTCCTGACTTGGGCTTCACTTCCGCGGGGTGGCGGCTGAACACTAGCAGCCCAGGCATGAGAGCAAAGTGATGTACCTGGAGGCAAGGCGACTTCTTGGCAAGAGGGTTTTCCTGGATGTTTCCTGTGGCTCTTTACACATTTGGAATCCGAAAGCGGCTTGAAAACACGAGAGGTAAGAGGGAGAAGTGCCTAGCTCATGCGCTAGCTCATGCTTGCACGTCGGTCCTTTTTTCTGGCCTCCTTCGGAGGCTTTCTGTCGTCACTTCAACCCCCACATGACTTCTTGCATCATTGACCAACCGGCTCACGTCTTGTTTTATTACCATTCTTGTTTTTTATTACCATTCTTGTTATCATCATCATTATTGTTACTTTTTCAAACGCATGATAAAACGCCACTGAACCACACGAAAAAAGAGCGACGCCCCCTGCCGGAAATGGGCGGCGGAAGAAGAAAAAGCGTCCACCTGCCCGGTAGCGGCACCTGTCGGGAGCAGTGACTCTGACTGAGCTCTCAGGGAGCTTTGGCCGACGGGCGTGGTGGGCTTCTCCTTTGATGGGCGAACGGGCGTGGAGCCGGTGAAGACACCCGAGAGCCGTTTGCTCTCCATTTGCAGGTGGAGTTCCGGAGTGTGGAATAGGAGGGAAGAAGTTTTTTCAGGTAGTTGGAGGTAAGTTGAGGCAGTTGGTGCTTTCTTGGGGCAATTATAACTGCAAGTTCAGGGATGTTCTGCAGTTCAGGGATGTCTGGCCACCATGTACATGGCACCTCTACTCCCTTTGCAAGTCGGAAGGCAGTCTCAGGGTCTCTGATCCGCCCATGCCGCAGATACATGGAAGACCTCTGCCAGCACCGAGATGAGACCTCTGGGCCGCCCCTTGGGTTCAGCCGAAGTCCTTTTTGGCAGCCCTTTGTTCGGGATCAAGTGAAGTAACAATGGACCGGCTGGCTCGGACAACAACCAACAAACACAGAAACACAACGCAGTCAACATCGACTGGGTGACCGGGTGAGATGAAGAACCTTGGCCAGATCTCTTTTCTTTTCTGTACGAGCAAGAGTGCCTTCCAATCGACCTTTCTCTTGGTGGTGAAGAATATTTTGCCCAGAGACGCCTTTAGGATTTGAGTTAAGCCAAGAGTTCT